CTCTTCCCCCCTGTTTTCTGGCTAAATTCGTATCTTTTAGTTAAAAAAAAAAAAAAAGCCCCAAAGCAGTGAAATTCATGATACGCCCTGAAGCAGTATGGGCTAAGTGGGATTTGGCTGATCATTTGATCTGGAAATCTCTTTCTTTGCTTCTCTCCAAGTGAGCTGCTCATTTTTTCATGACCCCCGTTACTCTTCCTGAGGAATCGGGAGTCTCTTAGCTACCCACTTGAGTGAAGCTGTGGCTCAGGAGCCCTAAGTGAGAAGCTGCTCACACCAGTCCTGGCCAGAGAGCCAAGGCTGGGGCTCCTGCTGGCTTTGGGATGCAGAGAACGTGGAGGGAGGCCCCGGGGCAGGTCCCCAAGCAGCGAGGGGCAACGCGCGTCCTCCCTGCCCGGCTCCACCCCCGCGCTTCACCCCGCAGCTCGTGCACTCCAATATTTATTCTGTCATTAAAAACCTATTCATTTACTCGTCTGCCAATAAAATTATAGTAAAAAGCATCTTTCATCTTTTCAGCTAATTCTAATTACAACTAAAATCTCATTTGGATTGTGAGTTTGCCATATTTACTTGATATTCTTGCAAAACATTTCTGAACATAATCATCCTTCATTATATTGCTGCACTGTGCTCTTGAGTGCTTTCTGCCAAGTGTGTTCCCGAGAACAATTGCTATTTTGATGTGTCATCCAGAAGTTGTAGCCTAGACAAATCAAAAAAAATTGTTTAGTCTATTCTAATTTGACATATGGTCATTTAATAGCACACAGGAAGTCAGCATGGATGTTTGAAATTTTTTTACTATAAATATATTGAAAGATATTTAAAATAGGCTAGACTTAGCTTCCGCAACTGGTCTTGTCATTAAAATAATCTTTGTTGGCTCTTTATTTTTGTCTATTAGTCTTGTAAAAGCAAGTATTCAGATTTTTGAATGAAGTTTTGTAGAGCACATTGACTTTTTAGATTTGACTGTTAGAGCTGCTATAGCACCTAATACCACCTCTCTACTCTGCCATGCTGCATTTTGAGAGTTTGAGTTTAATAGCATATTCTCCTTAGGGAGATTGATGGATTATGCCATTTAACATTTTGCTTTGTTGTATACCCCCAACTGATGCCCTTGCAGAAGTAGCTTTTGAGAGACTCTTTGCTTTCCTGTGTCTCTGCGAGTGACTGGACCGTGTTTGCTGACTGATTGTTTTTCCTCTATCCTCAATAGAGCTATCATACAGTACCAATTACCATAATTTTGAATCTAAAATGCTATATATTAATGGAATTCTTCCTTTGGGGAACAAGTCCATCTTAGTTCAAACCTTGATTCTACTAAATTTAAGGATTTGGTGGATTGAAGGATTAGATTTTCATAGATTTTTAAGGAACATTTAGATTTTCCAGGTTATATGCCATGCAATTCTAAACAACAATGAAAAAATTTCCATGTTGCAATTTGGGCAAATGGTCACCTGAGATTCAGTTGTCTATAAATCAGAAATACAATCTACATGCAGGATTGTTTGAGTAATTGCAATGTTGGAGATGCCTTAGACTGTGACTTTAAAAAAGGAAGAATAGAAACATTCACAGAAAATGATTTGAAGTGTGCAACTGTAATGTTGTACAGCATCTGAATAAAATTGCTGCACGCTGAGAATTTATGGACACCAAGCAGCACTCCAATCAGCAGTTGCAATTGCAGTTCTCATATCTTTATACCATACTTAGAGGATGATGAGGTATTTTTCCCTCAGTGATGTCCACAGGAGAAAAGCAATGGTTTTATAGATTGTTTAGCTGTTTGTCCTTATTGGTTGTTTGAGGAAATAGGAAACCATTAGCTTTCAGCATCTGAGTTACATCTAAATGTTTGAAAGGCTCTGAGTAGATTGTCTTGGAAACAAGACCCTGTCTTGTTAATGATGCCACTTTGGTTTGTAATGCCGTTTATTTTAATTATACTTTAAGAGCACCTCGTGCACCTTGCCTGTTAGGAGGGAACTACTTTATAAAACCAGGCTGTAGCTATTGTAAACGAGAGTCATTTCATAGACTTCAGTGGAGCTCTGTTGATTTATTCCATCTAAAGGTTTAACAAGGAGCTATTAGCTTTTCTGCATAACCCGGGAGTCACAGGGCACGGCACGGCGGCGGAACAGCCCACGGAGGGGTCGCGGGGTGCAGGATACCGGTTCACAGCCGCTGTCTTCATCACAAAGACATCCAGCCTTCTTCTCCCCATATACACGGAGGAGAAAACAAGAAGCAGCGAGCAATTGCTGCTTTAAATCATCATTAGTAAATTAAGCATGGATATGTGGTTAATGTTTTACTTGCACAGCGATAATAAGCATCATATATGTCAGCATGGCTCTTCCGCTATGGTCAAGCCTCCTCATAAAGTGTTTACTGATTTACATAACAGCATTGAAAAGTTCAGGAATAATGGCTGTATTTGTTTACTTGTTTTCATTTTTAAGACCATAATTTGATATTAAAGATCTGAAGAATTACTTTAATTTTTAAACAAGTCCAAAATCCATTAAAGCCAGTAGTTTACTTGTTAACCATTTCTAAAACATACTGCTGCCCAGGTATGGCAGCCTTTCTGGGGCATTTTTTTGGGAGCGTGTTGTCCCTGTGTGACAGTCCAGGAGCCCTGCTAACCATTGCACACAAGTAGCACGCTAGATGCTTGCAGCAAATGTACTTGTCCAGCATCATTAGCTTCCTGTGCGTGACATGGGAGGCTGTTCAGTGGAAAGGACACTCCATAGAAAAACACTTGTGAAACACTCATGTTCGTTAACTGAATGCAATTATGAACAGGGCTGAAGTGGCGATAAAACATCAAATTTGGTAACAGCAGTAAGTTTCTGTAGACCAAGTACCCAGAAGAGGTAACCTCGGAGCCTGTTTGCTGTGGGGTTAAATTTGCACCAGTCACAGGGGTGTAAATCCAGAGGGGTGCACTGAGCAGGGCAGGATGCATTTTGCATCCATGGGGCTGTGTAGAGAATTTGTTGGATATATTTATGAAAACTATCCTAAAATTGGAGAGAGGTGTAGTAAATATTTACTGAATTGATAGAGAAGCTTTGTTCAATTTTTTTATTAGGTATAATTGAAAAAAAAAGCCATGTCATTTCAGAGTTAACTATTATCACAGACAGCCACTGTAATCATTCATGTTGAAGGGCTACTCCTATTTAAGCCCCTTCTAAACCAGGCTAAATATTAGTTTGTAGCTCTTAAGTCCTATTTTATTTTTGCTTTTCTACAAAATGGAGACAGGATATATGTTCAAAAAAACATGCTCCACAGTTCACACACCCATTTTATGTCTGAATAACTGAATTTAAAATATTTTTTCTGACCAAAGCAGAAGAGATAGATTGTTTTCTTTTCTGTATCTGATGTGCTGTTACAAGTCCTTTGTAATGTGATAGTAACAATAGTGGAAAAAAAAAATGTTTGCACCAAGTGTTGTACTTGGTAAATAAATATAATTAAGAAAGAATACTTTAGAAATCCCTTCTCTGGTGCCAGATTATGTTAGCATATATATACATGTAACTATCATTTAATTCATTAGGCTGGAGTCATTATGATGTGGTTTCTGTTTTGCAATAAAAACAAAGAAAAACAGCCTTTTTGGAAACAAAGAACGCTTCCTTATTTATAAATGCACCCTCTTCTTCACTTTTGGAGTTGTGTTTTTACTTAACTGCAAACGGGACTGGAGGGGAGGATGTGACTGCCCCAGATTTGAGAGGGACACCCCCAGGTGGGTGGGTTCAGTCCTGGTGATGTGATTATCTGTTGCTGGAGCTGCAGAATTTGATGTAGGCTCAAGGTTTTCCCTGTATTCACATTTCCTGTGCTACAAATATAAATAATGTGCGAGACCTCCGTATCTCTCATAAAAAAATCATTCTCTTTTAATGAAGATAGTAGCATATATACATATGCCTGCAAGGATATAGCCTTGAGTATTTTATTAGTATCTTGCAGAATAACAAAGTGAATTACACTGAGAGCTGAAACAAACATCCTAGGGACCAGTAAAAATTGGCTGCTCTGTAAAGCTTGAAGGAGAATGTATAGGAAACCCGAGGGATATGTCAAAGTGGCCTGTAAGATGGATTGTTAGCTGCTGGAGGTATAGACCTTAATTCAGGGTTCGCTGTATTATGCAGTTCCTGCTTCAAATATTAATTCTGACCTACCGATTAAAAAAAAAAAAAGAAAAAATTAAGAAAATACCATAATTCTCGTAATACAGCAAGAGCAGGAATAAATAGCCGCTGTCAATTGTTACGTTATTAGCAGTATCTCTATGTATTTGTATTGATTTGTGACGATTAGAGTCACCAGAGAGGAGCATTGGCAGTAAGTGCTGCCGCTTACCTTTGATGACGTGATCCTCCGAGGGAGGTAGAAGGGCTATTTCCAGGGCCTGAACAAACGTTAGGTCTTCGGATTTCTGTCAGCCACTGCCCCTGCCTAGGTGCTTATTTTTGGCATGAAAATCTGTTAGTTATTAAAAGGCCTTTTCCTGAGCATGTGCAGAAATATTCCATTCTTGATAAGCAAGTATCTTGGTATCTATCTTGTATCTAAGCCTATGGCTTAAAGGCTTATATCAAAGGCTTAAATCTAAGCTCCTAAGAGGGCTTAGATATAAATTAGGTATTTCTACAGTTACCTTGCATCTTGGGCTAAATCCATTTGGCAGGATCATGAGATACTATAATTCTCTATCTTCCAACGTGGAAATGAATGCCGTAACCAGCAAGTTAGGAGTTTTTGTAGGCTGCATATAACAAAACAGTAAATATATTCATTGCTTATTATAATAATTATTATATTTTAATCTTCTTATCTTGGACTATTTTGAGTTAGTAGTAGTTTATTTTTACTTAGTAAGGGAATTAATGCACCTGAATTAAAGACAGGAAAGAACTGACATTTTTCTCTATCTCATTTTCTTTTAGGAATTAAGCTGGGAAGCTACAGAGCATTAAAGTGATGCATTTCATGTGTGGTGGCATCTTATGTGCTGAACGTTTTATCTGAAACTTTTCGTTAGCCCCACATTTTTTTGACTTCCAAGGTGGAAGGGGTAGATTCCTGGATACTCCTGTGCCTACAGAATAACCAAAAATGAAGGAGGACAATTGTTTACACGCCGCTCTCATCTGCATGGGCATGCTGTATTACAGCCATGCCTTTGCTACAGAAAAAGTGACCCACGCACGGCCGTCACTTCATGGTCACCATGAAAAAGGGAAGGAAGGACAAGTTCTTCATCGTTCAAAAAGAGGCTGGGTGTGGAATCAGTTTTTTGTTATAGAAGAGTATACAGGACCAGATCCTGTGCTAGTGGGAAGGGTAAGAAAGATTGTTTTGTTTTGTTTTCATTCGTTTGGGTAATACATGTGGCAGCATGAAACTCCTCAGGCCAGCTTCTCTGAATACTGGCAACAGCTATGCACAGCATTGGCCCATGCACAAATTAGCTCTTGGTGAAAGATACGACTTTTTGAAAACTATGAAAGTTATAGTAATTTCAGGAACTTTTTTTTTTGTCTCATATACACATACATATGATGGGTAACATCTTATTGTCTTATGTCTGCTTCTCATTTTGTAGCTTCATTCAGATATCGATTCTGGAGATGGAAACATTAAATACATTCTCTCAGGTGAAGGAGCAGGAATCATTTTTGTTATTGATGATAAATCAGGGAACATCCATGCTACAAAGACACTGGACCGCGAAGAGAGAGCTCAGTACACTCTCACAGCACAAGCTGTAGACAGGAACACTAACAGACCTTTGGAACCACCCTCTGAATTCATTGTTAAAGTTCAAGATATAAATGACAACCCACCGGAGTTTCTTCATGAAAACTACCATGCCAATGTGCCAGAGAGATCAAATGTAGGTAAGTACTCATAGGCAGAGTTCAGTGCCTGGCTTTACAGAGGAAGTGTCTTTGGCAATGCATCTTGGCCTGATCTAATTATTATTATTTAGAATTTTGGGAGGTACAACTTATATCATCCTCAGCCAACAACTCAATCAATTTGTCTAATTCAGTGACCAAATCAAACCCTGCTACCTTGTACCCTGCAAACAAACAAACTTTCATGGTCAAAGTGTCTCTGTAAATGGTTCAGGGAACATCACTGTTCCACCCTGAGGAGGAACAGGAAGGCTCCTGGGTATTTATGGAGTGTGAATACTCTACTTCAAGGTAAACATCAAGATCATTCTTTTGGCTGCATTATTTAGTAAAGCTAAGGAGTTATTGTCACACTGCACGTGCAGTTTTCATCTCTTGTTTGAGCCAGCAAGGGAAATGTTTGTGTCTACTTTGAAGCTTTCTACAGGAATGATTCCCTTGAAACTTTCTGAGGAAAATGTAAAAAACAAAATGAAAAGAAAGTCTGTTGTTTGGTTGTCTAATGTCAGAAACAACATAATGATTAAACTAGGGAAGCAAGTCATAATGTAACAGTGTGACTGCTGACTTTTATATCTTTTAGAACATTAATCTGTGTCTCAATTGATGACACTTATTTGTAGGTCTTATGAGTCTATTTCCTTGTATATTAATTGTTAAGTAAATTTTTGTATTGGCCAAAAGTGGAAATAAGAGGATTTGTGCTATATAGCTAAAAGTCTCTCTGCATGGTTCTCTCAGATGTGTTTGCTTCTGATTGAATTTCTTCTGCCTTTGCTTTCCTTTTTTAGGTACATCAGTTATTCAGGTAACAGCTTCGGATGCTGATGATCCTACCTATGGGAACAGTGCTAAGTTGGTTTACAGTATTCTTGAAGGTCAGCCGTACTTCTCGGTGGAAGCTCAAACAGGTATTACTGAGCAATTTGTTTGAGTAGGACCTCATAACCGGAATACATTAAAATGATGAATTAAATATATTGGCGCAGGCATTATAATCAGGTATATCTAATGATGTGTTTGAACAAAGCTTCTACCTTCTTCCCTGATTCTAGTCAAGTAGTTTTGCAGGTTGGTCCTCTGGCACTTTGTTGAGCTTCTAGGGACACAGCATCAGACAGATGTAGACTATTTATTTTGTGATATGATAGAAATGTAATTCCTTGGGTAGTTCTGTGTTCTGCTCTTTGCTGAATATTTGAGCTTGTCTGTTTGCATTGCATAGTGCAGAGAATAGAGAAAGCATGATTTGCCCCATTACTGCATGTATTGCAGTATTTTGACACGAGTTAGAAAATGAAGTTTGCATTTTTTCATGATGTGAAGGTGGGAACATTTGCAAGTGACATATTTTCTTTTGCATTTATAGGAATTATCTTTTCTTTGTATTTATAGGAATTATCCGAACTGCCCTTCCAAATATGGACAGAGAAGCTAAGGAAGAATATCACGTTGTAATACAGGCAAAAGATATGGGAGGACACATGGGAGGCCTCTCAGGGACAACCAAAGTGACAATTACACTTACAGATGTCAATGACAATCCGCCAAAGTTCCCACAGAGTAAGTAACCAAGTCCTTACTATATCGTATTTACTGTTAGTAGTACCTGTGTTTGTAGAGTATCTGACATGTTCAGAAATTTGAAAAACACTAACTAATGGATTATCACCACACACACGAATAAATAAATATTATTTACATAGTTGTAAGAATCGTGTCCTGAGCTTTAGTGTTTGGATGATTTTCCCTGTGTTGCAAAGTGAGTCCTTTTTTTTAAAGCCAAGATTAGATTAGAAGGATTCTTAACCCTATAATTCTGTTTTAATGAAAAGCTGCTACACCATGTTATATTAGAAGTATATCTATGATGTGACGAGGGAGCCATATTCTGGGCTTTTCTAGTAATGAAGAAGCCCCAGTTCTTGATATAGTCAAAGCAATTTTGGCAAAACTGCCTCCAAATCTACCTTCATTACAGCCGTTCCAGACTAAATCAGCTTGCTTAAATTCCCATTTCACAATTATATGGTGGATGTAAAAGTCTGTTTGAAAAAAGCAGTCTGTGTTTGCTACTCTGCTCAGACCACAAGACCAGCAAGAAATCTTTGTGGAGAAATAGGGGAAGGTAAAAAGAAATTCTTTCATGTCTCATATATGAAATGCTTCTGTGGCTGGAGAGCTGCAGTGTGCATCAGAAAGCTCTCCTGTGGGGCTTACAGTCCTGGAAAGAAGTCTCCAAGTGGCCCTACCAAAAGCCTTGCAGTATGCCCAGATCATAGTGATTTGCAAGAACAGAATTTTGGCAGTCATTTTCAATTAGCAAATCCTCTCTGCTTATTGATGAGTGTGGACAAAGCAAAGGTGATCTGCTTTATCTTTTAACGTATTTCTCAGGCTACAAATGCTTTGCTCTTCCTGTCCTTTGATGAGAGTGTTGCACAATCTATTAACAGGTCTTGATTATACTCTTTCAGGTCTTTGACAGACCTTCAAGTGAACAAGCATTATTTTCTATTTCATGTAGCTTTTCATGTAGTTTAAGTGTTGGCATTCTATAAATACTCTCAGTGAACTGGGGACCATTCATAAGGATAAATCCAGATGACTGGATACTTCTAATAAGTTGTATATGCCATGGCAATAATAATAATAAAAAGCAATTTAATACAATTGCATTTTGAAATTGATTCTGTATACTGCCAGTGATCAACTGAAGTTGTTTTTAATACCTACACTAACTATTCATTTTTCACATGTAAAATGAGCCTGGGCTGACATTAGCATGTTCAGCCTTCACAGCTGGATTGGAAGTGCGTGATTGGCTTTGGACATGTCTTTAAGTTTCTCTTTCAGTATCACAGCTTCTTGGACCCTCACACTAGAATTTAAATGACATAGCCAGACTCTACATATAAAAACCTATATGTCAGCAGTTTTTACCACTCTAAGAGGAAAGTGTTATTTCCTAGAAAGCAGTATGCTTTGTTCTTCTATATATCCTCATTGCTAATCCCATATGAAGTTTGCTGAAGTATGCTTACAAGAACCCCTTTTCATTCCAAATCATAAACTGGGGCAACAGCATGCAGTATTTTTGCTGAATATCTCAGTCAAATGGTGGATTTTCCTCAACAAATTCTACCCACTCTACTGGCTCAAAAAAGTGTATGTTTTGGGAGAAAATTTAAATCAATGATTGGAAATGACAAATAGCAGTTATTCTACTTAATGATTCATCCCCAAGGTTAAAACCGTGATTTGGAATGCTTTGTAATGCAAAGACAGAATTTGGCCTGTTTATAATAACATCCATGTGATTTTCCCCCTGTATTCCCCTCTTTTTTTATGTATATAGCTGAAATCCTTAATGAGTTATATACTTAAATTTGGGGTTCTTTTGTGACTGGAGTTAATGGTCTATTTCTGTGACATGTGCCAATTGTTTTCATGGGTAATGAGCCAAGTCCCTGCCTGGTGCAAGTCTCCTGATGTTCCTAGTGTGCTGGTGGTAGCAACAAAGAGAAATTATGGAGAAGAGGATAAATTAGATCATTTCATTTCTCATTCTGTTTCTTTATTCATGTCAACATTCATGCTGATGAAACTCCAGAAAACACTGATGTAGATATGTATATTTAGGGCCAGGTTACGCTACTTAAACTCTGGAGAGGGTCAGGAAGGTCCAGGAAGCAATTTCGCTTAAAGAACAACTGTTGGAGAGAGATTTATCTGGAAATAATTGTGCTCTGCTATGGTGCCCCTGAATGCACAAAGGAAAATGCACAGGCAGTATCTCTGTGGGAGATTTGGGGCTTGTTTTTCAAGTGGTGTTTGATCTGGGAAAGCCATTTTTTGTTTGGTAGCGAATCACACCCAAATTGGAATGTGTTCTCTTTTGTACTAAATTTTAATATTCATTCCTTGTACAAGTTCATACTTTAAATTAAAGCCATAGAAAGCAGCAGATTTGTTCTTTTAGCCAGCACAGCAGTGAGGTCTTATCCAATTCATGTTATATAATTTGTGGCTCCTGACTGAATGGGCAGTTACCCTTCTAGATGCTAAGGAGTTGAAGGTCATACCATGAGTCATACAAAACAGAATTTTCTTTCAATTGTTGTAATAACATATCTGATAGGAATTACAGCCTTGAAGTCTAAATCATTTCTGCATTCTGACATATCAGTTGGCCTTTTAACTCTTCCCTGAACATGACAGGTAAAGGTTATATAAAATATCAGTGAGGTGGGAGTTTTACAGGGGCTAGCAATATGTTTTAGATTTTCCAGATTACTTATCTCTCTTTATTATGTAACAGTCCTTCAGCGAATTTGAAAAGCTGAAAAATTACTGACACTGGGGTTTTTTGGGTTTTATAAGTTACATGAGTAAATATAGAAATGATCAAGTAGATTGCATATTTAACGTAAATGTCTTTTTCTCTTTTGGCAGGTGTATACCAGATGTCGGTATCAGAAGCAGCCGTTCCAGGAGAGGAAGTTGGAAGAGTGAAGGCCAAAGATCCAGACATTGGAGAAAATGGCTTAGTAGCTTACAGCATCATTGATGGAGATGGAGTGGATATGTTTGAAATTACAACAGATTATGAGACTCAGGAAGGGGTTGTAAAGCTTAAGAAGGTACGTAACACTCTCCTTCCAAACCTACAGATCTGTAATATGCTTTGTTTCTGACCGAATATTTTGTAGTAATGGATTATCACCTAATCTAAAATAACAATAAATATTATTTCTCTGAACTTGTTTATAAAGCTGTGATTAACTTTTAATATTCCATTTCCCCATTAGCTGAAATGGAATGGAAGAAAATAACCAAGAAGAGTTACATAAAAACTGTACAGTGGATTAATGCAAAAACTAAATGAATTCATAATAAAAAGTCACGGTAAAATACAATCCCATCAGCTTCATTGTTGATGAAGTTTTGCCTAGTGCTGATAAGTAGCAGACATTCACTGTTGCTTTATGTTCGGTCTAAACAGCCTCATGCCCTATAGTTTGAATTCCTCAGCTGTGCATTGTCTACAATATTGTTCTGAAGGAGTCACAGGCTATGCCAAAAGCAGCAGAAATACTGAGCTTGTTTCATACGCAATCCATTAATGTGTTTTTTTAAAATATTATGAAATATTTTCAAGTAACATAAATTATAAATACTATTTTCCATTTCAAAAGTATTACGTCTTTATCTTCATACCTTTGTAGCTATTCATTATTTTCTTGGAGATGTTAGTTCTTACAAGGACAAGGCTCTGAGCAGCTTAACTTGAGGATTATCCTTGCTTTGTGCATCAGGTTGGACTAGATGACCTCTGCAGGTCACTTCCAACAAAAATGATTCTGCCATTCAATTGCTTTGTTTGTTCTAGGGTACAGTGCCTGAATCCAGCTCATAGTGTTGGCACCTGCTCCCCTGTTATGTACAGGTAGAATTGTTGTGAAGCTACCAGTACTGCAGCCCTGCAGCCATTTCATGTCAGTGACAATGCAGAATTGCTGCCCTTGAATCAGGGTCTCAAAAGGATTTGTCTATGGGACATTATTGCACCTCCTCTCTTTAAAATGCTATGAGGTCTGTGGATGGGAAGGACTACAGAAGTGAAAGAGCAACAAGGAGGAACAATCTTCATATTTCCCCTGTTACTTAAGTAATAATTGTCTTCGCCCTATCCTATGGTGCAGCCAGCAGTGCAAATCACATCCATATCCCTATAGAAAAGCCTGCCAGCTTGGAATAGGCCAGGCCTAGCATTTTCTAGTAACTTCTTTCCAGCCCTCCCGTTTGCTGCCTGGAATGCTGTCCTGTGCAGCCTTCCTCTGGCTGCTGCTGCTGCATACATAGAGTGTAGCTCCTTCCACTCGAGTCTTCATGTTTTTAAATACACACATTTCAGTCCAAGCTTGTTGAAAGATATGCTCACATGTGTTTTATGTTATTGAATACTAGGGGCCTGCTTACTGCTTTGACACTCTAGTTTTTCCAGCTCTGTTCAATGGATGCATCGTCATCTTGTTTCTCACAGCTCTTAGACTTTGAAACCAAAAAGTCCTACAGCCTGAAGGTAGAGGCAGCCAATGTACATATTGATCCTAAGTTTATCAGCAATGGACCATTCAAGGACACAGTGACAGTGAAGATTTCTGTGGAAGATGCCGATGAGCCACCCATATTTTTAAAACCAAGTTATATTTTTGAAGTACAAGAAAATGCAGCATCCGGCACCGTTGTTGGAAAAGTACATGCCAAAGACCCTGATGCTGCGAACAGTGCTATAAGGTGTGCTTTGTTACTGCCAACTGTGTATTCCTATGGACAAGCATTAGCCTTTAGAATTGTTATGCAACCTTTTTAAGATAGTGTGATAGGCCTATGATAGTAAAATTCCAAATCAAGCCAGAATATTAATATATGTAACCCTTCAGCATTTGTATGTCTTGTTCCATTAGCTACGTTTTCCTCAAAGCCCATGTCACTAAGAAAAGCTTAAAGTATAATATACTATGGTTTTGTCCACTTAGCTATACCTAAGGACATCCATTTTGATGCTATTCTACACTGTATTTTCAATAAAGTATCCCATGCTATTGTCACAGACAGGACATTTTTCTCAAAAGATTGAAGTATGTGCAGTAGATCGGGTGCTAAGAGTTAATTTCTAATGGAAGACACATACACAGACCTACTTTGAGCACATACATTGAGTAGTCTTTAATATATATCTTTTTGTGTGTCATGTCTTCAGTCTAAATTAAATTATGAAAGTCAGTTTGGGTGTTTTGTTAACATTACAAAGAATTGCAGGAATTACATAGGAAAAAACAAAGTTGCATGAAGTTAGAAAATATGTAGATAATTAATAATATGTAATAATATGGTATCATCAATCAACTTTTTGAGCAATTTGAAGATTGGACAACTTAAAAGACCTGCATCATTAATATGTAACAAGTGAAAGCACAAATAACTCAGTGGATTTTGTATTATTTTTGTAGGAGCAGAATATATAGTGTACTTGTAGATTTCATTCTAGAGACTTCAAGGAACAATAATTTTCCTTACCCTTACTATAAAGATTCTGACATAATATTCTTTCTATATGTCAAACCACCCAAGTGAATTTCCTTTTTAAACAGCTAAATTCTCATCGATATGTCCATAATGTTAAGTATACTGCTTAAAATTATTTTAAAATAACAATATGGTCCAAATTTGGATGCAGTAAACTGTTAAATCTATCTTTTATCTCATTACTGAATGTCAATTTTCTTTAGGTATTCAATTGATCGTCATACTGACCTTGAAAGATATTTTACTATTAACGCAGAAGATGGCAACATCAAGACAGTAAAAGCTTTGGACAGGGAAGAAATTGCATGGCATAATATCTCTATATTTGGAGTTGAAGTCCGTAAGTATTTCACTGAGGTATTTATAATCTCTGATATAAATTTTGTCGGCTTCTAATTGTCTGAGTTTAATAAGTTGTACTGAATCCTAATAGATAAGCTTGAGCCTATTTCTCATTTTTGTACAGCTAAGATAGTTTTTTGTTGTGATTTTGTTTTGAGATGTTCTCCTGCTTGCATTTCATTTACTTTTCACTTACTCCCACAGACAAACAACACCAGGAAGCCAAAGTTCCAGTAGCAATTAAGGTCGTTGATGTCAATGACAACGCTCCAAAGTTTGCAGCAGCCTACGAAGCGTTTGTTTGTGAGAATGCCCGAAGCAATCAGGTACGCCTTCGTCTGCCACCTTCCCGGCAGATGAACCTGGTTCTGACATGAGTGAGTGTTAGTAACTGAACATCTATTTCAAAGCTTTGGCAAAGATGCCTAGAGCACACAGACACACAAACAGGCACTTTCTTGCTTTTGTTTTTGCTTTGCTATCAATAGCTATAGAAGAGTTTTGTGCACTGGCTGTGGGTATCCACCAGCCACAGCTGGGAACAGTGTTCCCAGTTGCGAGTCTATTGAGGGTATTACAGAAATGCTCTGCATGCTATGCTGAGAATCACATTACAGCACTTGTAGCCTGGAGCCTGCAGCTTTATCCCTGAACAGCCTGTTAGGAATGGGGATAGGATCAGTTAACATATGGCTCTACACATTAACTGCACTTTTGCAGTTAGCATACCAGTTTGGAGGGACATTCTGATACCTTCCTCAAAGCTGTTGAAGGCTTTTAGCTTACTAAGTTATCATTAGCAGAAATTCATATGTGTGTGTGTGTGTCTATAATTCTACACTGGTTAAATGTCATAGCAAATAAAGGTCGCCCGTTTTAGCTTTGTATCTGCAGTGTGTTCATAATTGCGTATGTTCGATTGGGATATTTTGGAGTATTCTTCTATTTCCTTTGACTTTCAAAATTCTTTGTATTCAAAGGTCTCCTCCAAATGCTATTTATATGCCATGTAACAAAAGAAGGAACCGTTTGTTTACACTCCTTTTCTTTTACAGCAATTTATTACAATTACTGCTGATGACAAGGATGACTCGGCCAACGGACCAAGATTTATTTTCAGTTTACCACCTGAAATTATTCATAATCCAAATTTTACTCTCAGAGACAACAGAGGTTTGTATAAGATTCCCTCTATATTAGTGTCCAAATAAATGACAAAGGAAAACTAATGGCCAGTATAATGGCATGCAACAGGATTTTCATTAACCTTGACAGAGTACCTGTTTTTCAGAGGTGCAGGGGAAGAAGCTAGGAAAAATAGAGCTGATCTACAGGGATGTTCTTGAAACAAAGTAATGCTCACTAACTTGCTTTCATTTTCTTGCATATGTATTTCAAATTGCATAATAATACCCTACCTTAAAAATCCATTGTCATTATATTTCCCCAGAAGGGGATAAAAATATTGACAGAAATGTTTGCTAAGTATACTAGGCAGGTTTTTATGATTTCATTAAAACTACTTGCTATGCTAAAATTAGCTGAGGAAGGATAAATTGTTAGGTTGCTTGAAGTTTTTTTGACTTAATTTTGCTTGTTAGATTTTACTTATTTTGGTTCATGGCAGACATAGACTAGAGTCACAGTGGAATAAAATTACTGCCATACTAACCTTTTTTTTTTTTTTAGGAAATATGAATGTGGATTTCTGTTGTGAAACATGCCTAGATTGGAATCCTGATGCCTTTGCAAACCTTATATTAATGAAATATAGGGTAGCCTTGCATTCAGATTGAGTATTGAAAAGTTTGAAATATGTAGGCAAAAAAAAATAGATGACAGCCAAAACTTACTTAATCATCTAACATGACAGCATTGGTAAGCATAGTTTGCCAAAGGTTGAGGAAGCCAGAGAAAGAAAGCCAGAAAAAAAGACAATTCTGACATCAGAAAATATTTATTATATTTATATAATAATATGCAGTTGATATTTACATTAAATGTTATTAGCTATTCATTTGTTATTTTTCTGCAAAAGCAAAAGAAAAAATCTTCTGCTTGTTTTCAAGTTTCCAAGTTTCTTTTCAAGAAACTATTTTTAACTAGCAAGCTTTGATGTTTGAAAGAAACTCAACTACTTCCTGAAATTCAGAATTATTTGAACTGGTTTAAATCATGAAAGGAGTAACCACAGATTGTCACAAGTACAAAAGGCAACATAATCCAGATACATGATTTTAGTAAGAACTTTTTTCTCATAGGTGATATGTTGTACTGTGCTTCACATCTCAATACCTGAAATGAGTTCCTCAAACAATTTCTACTATTCTTGAAGGATCCAAGTAATATCATCTAGTACTTGGCACTTGTACACATATGTGCTTCATAAAACATCTAGTGGAGAGGACATATTTATTCTCTTTAACACAGGTTTTCTGAAAAATCAATGAATGTATTTTTAGAGATGTAAATAGAAATGTATTCTTTGCTTACGACCCTGAGGTCAGGCTTCTCCTTAGAAGATGTTTTATGGTCACCACATCAATCTGAAAATGGATTAGGTTGCACATAGAGATAATGGGCATTTCACCTTTGGAGACCTAGATTCCAGCTGCATTTAGGAATGATCTTAGAAATACCACCTAAGTCTCTAGTGGGTAATAGCATCACAAGTCCTACTCATCCTTTGGCACCACTTGGCAAAACTGTCACGGAAGATTCGCGTCTGAAATAGAGAGAGGAAGTGAAGGTCAGAATGAGATGGACTGAGACAGTTGTAGGCAAAGGTATCACAGTGCCCAACTCCAGCCAATTCTGTTAATCCTACATTTCCATATACATGAAATTTGTTTTGCTAATGAAAAAGTTAACCCAGCTAAAAAGCTTTTATAATGGAAATGATGATTTCTACTATACACAGTGGCTGGACCTGACAATACTGCCAAAGGTTATTTCAACAAGATGCTATTTTAAGGATTGAATCTTCCTGTGTTGTTCTGCGTTTAGGAAATGTATAATGAAATTTAGTATAATAAATGTAATGAAATCCATCCATTTCCATATTGTCATTCCATCATTACTATGCAAGCTTTATTGCAGTTCTCTTGCTAACTATCTTCTGTTTGTTTGGTGGGTTTTTTGGGTTTTTTTTTCTGTTGTTGTTTTTTAATAACTTATGGAAGAGAGCAAAGGGAAAAGGTTAGAATTCTATGTACTTTTAGAGAGAAAACCTTTTGAGAGAAAGTGTTACCATTTGTAAGTCAAATAATTTACGTGATCATTTAAAGTTCTCTTTCATTTGTAAATTTGAGTAGTCTGTGTACCATGCCACTTCTTTCAGAGGGAATTGCAAGTTTCAAAGAAAAATGGTTTTATTAACTGTGGAGCACAGTTAATGAAAACTGCAATGTTTGGGTCTATTACAGAACTTTAAAGTGAATACAGTCCTATAATTATCATTTAATAGAGTTTCTTTCTACCAGCTACTGAAAGTAATCACATATTGCAGTAATCCAAAAAAAGTAATCACATTCTACATCCTATTAATAGCCTACTGTGTTACCAAGTTTTTCAACTGAGACTATCTTCCATAGAAAACATGAGATAATGGCTTATCACATGCTGTGATAAAACACTGAATTGCTTTTGCACTGTTCACTTACGTTATACCACATAAATAAACAGCACTATGTTTGCCCAAACTCTGTTCAGTTTTACTTCCATTGAAGTCAACTTCAAAAGCGCAGCAGAAGTACATGGCCCTTCACGAAAGTAAGTGGCAGAGTCTTAGCAAATGGATTTCTTTAGAAATCTATTTCTACACAATTTCTTTAGAAAGCACTGACTTTGTCAGAAGTTTGCAAGGTTACTAAAATCCATGACCAAAATCCTTTTTTTCAAAAGAAACATGTTCTCTGGCCCTCAATTTCAATCTTTTTCAAGAGATTTTGAAACTTATGGGCAGTGAAATGATGGGGTTTTGCCCTGGAGCAGTCAACACTAAAACATGGTATTCCCCAGACAATAATAACAGGAAAAATGAAAGCATGTGTATTTTTCTGGGTGGTGTTGGGATGGATAATTTCATCCTTTTATCTTGTATTAACCCACGCTGTGTTCTTTAAGACTGATGGCCAAGGAGCTCCCATATGTGTTAAGTAATAGTTGTAAGCTGGTGTTGACATTTAACTTCTGTTTCTTGGCTTAAAAAATCCTATTATACCTGGATTACAGTTATGCTCCTGAGACCTGAAAATGATGAAAAAGCAAGGATGAGAATATTAGCTAGGATTATATGTTATCTTTTATCTATTTTAAAGAGGTGCTTTTTTTTCCCTCTCATAGATATTAATGTTCCTTCTAAATATGAGAAGTGAACCTCAACAAAAAAAGTTCAAAAAATGACCTTTTAGGGTTGATATATGCTAGTCCTTTTTAAATTTTGGCCTGGTGTGTTGATTGGATTTTACAATTACAAAGTATGTGGGCACCAGAGTCATCATACTAATGTCTGATATTGTTGTTGCTCTAAGTTAATATTGGCTAATGTGTGTATAGCTTATGCCATATATCTGCTAATATCATTATGATCTAAACAAATCACATGGAAAATATATATTTTTTCTTCTTTTGTGGCTGTTTAGACATTAAATTTTAATTTTTTATCAAAAGATTACCAAATCATAGACATGATCTCTACATCTCTTTTTTATCCTTTTCTGGTGTGATCTGCAGGATTTCCTAGAGGAGAAGTCCAAATAAACAGGACAATAGTACAAGCATCCATTAAACTTATTTGTGTCCACTGAACCTGGGGACAGTTGTAGACCTTGTCCCACCTCAGGAATATTGTCTGTGAGGGTACTTAATATAGGGCAAGAACACTTCCCTTTTTGGTGTAATTTATTCACAAATTTTCATGGAAGTAGCAGTGGGCAGATCATTAAAAGAGGTTTTATGATTCACATTATTAAATTCTGGAATTTATGCTGACTCTTCAATAGAAATACGATTAATCTTCTGCAGTACTATGAGACAGCAATAAAATAGGTATCACTGAAGGTGAATAGCCCTCCTTTAGAAGGAAAAAGAACCACCTTATTCTCTCTTTTTTCTTTTCCTCCTGTTACATGGTGATAAAGAGCATTGACAAAACGGAAAAGATTGCATGAAGTAAATCTTTATCTGAAACTAAACCTTTTTTCTGTACATCTGAAAAACATAGATAAAATTGTTTTGTTTTACTTTAGAATGTTAACAATTTTATGAACTTTGGTTCAGGCCGAGAACTAAGAAACAAGAAATGCTGTAAAGAAATACAGTTCATTTTTCCTTCCGTGTTTCTGGACTGGCCGGGAGCAGAAGCTTTGGTGGTTTCACCCTGCTGTTTCATGTTATGCACTTCCTTTTTGAATGCTGTCACCCTTGCATACCTGCATGCTGTCACATGCAAGAGTTTGAAGAGTGAACAAAGATGATGCTCTGCTCTGGCACTGCAGCTTAGCTTCCAGGCCTTAGATGAAGAGGGACATGGTGAATATTCAGCACTGTAAATAGTTTTAGAGCAATACTTGACCTCTTCATTGTATCTCTGTAATTCATAATATGCCTGTAAGTACAGTGCCTAGGTGGTCAAGCTTTCTGAATTCTGGCTTTGAGGAGGTTGGATGACAAACTGCAAATTACAGTGTGTTTTACTGAAATATATCAATGTCAGGGCTTAAATTTGCTTGTGCACAGTAATTTTTGTTTTCCTATCAATACAGGCTATTTTGGGACAGAATTCTGCCTTCTGTATATGTAGATATGACACCTAAAACAATAAGCTAATGGGATTTTTTTCTCCTCCATGGATGCTTTAGTTCTGGATAGGGCTTAGAACAGCACAGACAGAAATGCCAAGGCTTGGCCATTCAATTAGTTGATGAAGTATCATAAATTTCCTCGAAGGTTAGTGGAGTTCTAGACTCTGCTACAAATGTCATCTTCTATGGTAATTATTTGTAGGATGGGCTTTTTATGATATATATATTTACTTTTTAGTATTTGCAATGAATGAATTCATTCGACTTAGTTGATACAGCTAGTATTCAGTTGTGTATATGATATCTCTTTCAAAATAGTCATAAACATTATGATTTATAAAACAAATGGTTTCTTTTACATGAGCTGTACTCCCCTATGGTATCTAATTAATTGAACTCTCATATGAATGGTTTTAAGATACTTTGCAAATGAGAACAATTTAAACAAAAAAATATATATATAACCAAAGAAAGCCATTTTTTGTGCTCTTTGTATTGCCCTCATCATCCTAACATAATTAAAATTGAGTGTGGTAATGTATGAATGAAGCACAATACAGTAATTGCCTTTGGCTCATTAAGAAAGGAATAATCTGTTTATCATATATGCCTCAAGCGTCTGAAAAATCCGTACCATTGTAGCAAAATTCAATTTTTCAATATTTCCTAAGAGGATAAGTTTGAGAAAAAGAAATAATGATTTTGACTTATCTCCCTTCTTTAAACAGATAACACAGCAAGCGTTTTTGTTAGGCGTGAAGGATTTAGTCGCCAAAAGCAAGATTTATACCTTCTCCCTATTGTCATAAGCGATGGTGGACTCCCGCCCATGAGCAGCACCAACACCCTCACCATTCGGGTCTGCGGCTGCGACAGCAACGGCTCCTTGCTCTCCTGCAACGCTGAAGCCTACATCCTCAACGCTGGGCTAAGCACGGGAGCTCTAATTGCCATTCTTGCTTGCATTGTGATTTTGTTAGGTAAAACAGCTCTCTGATGGTTATTATCTTTGTACACTTGTTTGTATTTCAGTGTTAATCCCGACTTTAGTTCTAAACTGGATAACTCGAACTTAGTTTCTCAACTTTTTATAGGAGGCGCTAATTTGTCTGGCTGAAATAACACTATATGATAACTGCAATGGGAAACACCAGTGAACTCGCTCGGGAATGATCAGAGAGTGTCCTCCTGTGCCCCAATACCAGTTAATCAGGGATACTGGTTAAAGGAGGTCACGACACAGTTTTAAGTTTTGTGATCTTCCCTGGATGACAAGTTCCTTATTGAGGTCAGCCAGGATTAATGGCTCCTGCCAGCTATTTCACTCTAACTCCGCTTGTGTTGAAGACAAATGAATGGCTCCAAAGAGCTACTTTTAAGAAATTGCTGTAAAGTATTTCCTGATGATTTAAAAATACTTATAAAAAACATTCATTTGTTTATGGGCATTTATGGTCACTTTTTTCTTACGTAATTTTAAGTTATTTTAAAGAAATTTGAAGCAAGGAGTAGCACAGCAAGAAAAGCATGCATTTTGAGGCCTTGCTTTAGAAAAAAATCTACTTTCATGGAAATGCCCATTTTCATCATCAGCAGAACATGGCTGGGCATATGGAAAAAAGTGAAGGTTCATTTGTTTTTTGCTGCAGCTGTTCAGTACGATTGGATTCTATGAAAGGCCGTGCCACAGTGGTGGTGTTGGAGCCCACAAATATAGTTCCTCAATTGAAGTCTTGCAGTAATGAGCCATTACTTTCAACAGTGTATTCCGTACAACTGTAAATCTTCAAATCAGTATGCTGAGATCTGTATTCCAACCTCATGTTCTTACCTAGCTAGATATGCTAAAAATGAAGATGTCTGCAAACATACCTGAGGAACTAGTGCAGAAGCTGAGGGGCCAGTGTAAGGAAGTTGTTAGGTCCCAAGAGGAATCAATTTATAAAACAGATACCGCTTTAAAGTGTGGTCTAACTTACTTTATTTTTTCTCTGCAGTCATTGTAGTGCTGTTTGTAACACTGAAAAGGCAGAAAAAAGAACCTTTGATTGTGTTTGAAGAAGAAGATGTCCGAGAGAATATCATTACTTATGATGATGAAGGTGGCGGAGAGGAAGACACGGAAGCTTTTGACATAGCTACTCTGCAGAACCCTGATGGCATCAATGGATTTATTCCTCGTAAAGACATAAAGCCTGAGTATCAGTATATGCCAAGACCAGGGCTTCGGCCAGCTCCCAATAGCGTTGATGTTGATGATTTCATCAACACGAGAATACAAGAGGCCGATAACGACCCAACTGCTCCTCCCTATGACTCTATTCAGATCTATGGCTATGAAGGCAGAGGCTCAGTGGCTGGTTCACTTAGCTCCTTAGAGTCAGCGACAACAGATTCTGATTTGGACTACGACTATCTACAAAATTGGGGACCTCGATTTAAGAAACTTGCAGACTTGTATGGCTCCAAAGACACTTTCGATGATGATTCTTAACAATAAAGTTTCAGATTTGGCCTTAAGAACTGTGTCTGATGTTCTGAAGAATCCAGAAGAAATGTAAGCAGGTATTTTTTTAAAAATCAAGAGAAGTCTCATTTAAACATTTAAGTTTGACAGAGAGGATTCATTTGCTAGAAAAAGGACATAAAAGTGGTAAATACTGTGAAGTACCTTCTCCTATAAAAGGCAGATGCGGAAGTTGGCCATCGACTTCACTAGAGGAAAAACCCACTTACGAAATAAAAAATATTTAAATGAAGGAAAATGCTAAAAGTGAACCTACAAATAAGGGAAATCTTTTATGTGTTATGAACATCGAAATCTTTTATGTCAAAGAAGCTTCCACAAATTAGAAAAGATAACAGTTCTGAGCTGTAATTTCGCCTTAAACTATGGACACTCTATACGGTAGTGCATTTTTAAACTTGAAATATATAATATTCAGCCAGCTTAAACCCATATGATGTATGTACAGTACAATGTACAATTATTATGTCTCTTGAGCATCAAACTTGTTACTGCTGATTCTTGTAAATCTTTTTGCTTATACTTTCATCTTGAACTAATACGTGCCAGATATAAAAACTCTGTCTTGTTGCAGTGGGAGGCGCCCTATTTCTATGTCATTTTTAATGTATCTATTTGTACAATTTTAAAATTCTTATTTTAGTATACATGCAAATATCAGTATTCTGACATGTAAGAAATGTTACAGCATCACACTTATATTTTATGAACATTGTACTGTTGCTTTAATATGTGCTTCAATATAAGAAGCAGACTTTGAAATAAACTGATTCTTTTTTAATTCTTGTTCTGGTTATTAAGCATATAAGGAAAAACATAGTGTTTCTAATGTCCCATTTATAGTTCTGACTAATTTACTACAATTGTGACCTTTTAATAGCCTTATTTATTATGTGTTTGTAGTTGGTTTGTTGCCTTGTTAAGTGATTATTTAAAAATCAAGTACATTTTACAAATGTTTTTTAGATTTAAAAAAAAAATGTAATGTCTGGTGAAAATTTTGTACCCTCTCTATTTACAGCTTGTGGCTGCTCCCAGAACACAGTAATAATCTTCATATAATGATACCGTGTTCTGGATTAAATTAAGTGTAATTCTTTTAAATATTTCCCATGTAATATACATTTATCTTATATCTTAGGAATTCCAGAGACGTCAGTAATGACTTTTAAATGGACAGGAGTACATCATTCTTAAAATTTACTCCAGACTTGTGAATTTCAATATCTGCGCTAAGCTTCTGTGGGTTTTAAAGACTTAAATCTGACCCAATTTAGCTATAAGTTCCCTAAAGATGGTTCTACCTGACAATTACTTTACCTGAGTATTAATTAAGATTCTGGTACTTAAGTTTATTCTTTTTTTTTCTTTTTCTTTCCTTTCTTTTCTTTCTTCTTTTTTTTTTCTTTTGCATCTACAGTAGAATAGCATCGTCTACTGCTAGGAAGAAATTTTAATTTGTAATGACAGAAATACAGAGTGCTTTCAGAATTGTTCTTTGTAATGTACGTTTTTAATCTAAAAGTGATCTATAACTTTTTTTATATTAGTTTAGAATGAGCAAGGGATTGGAATATGTTCCGTGCATCAACATTTTCAGCATCTGTGTACAGCTGTACTTCTGCTAAATTTAATATACTTTCTTGCTTAGGGTCAGAGATCAGCAGCTTCAGTATGGGAAGAGGCAATAAATACAAATGATATACATTTTTCTACCATTCATTTTATGGATCCTATCCTTCATTTGCAGTCAGGTACGAAACTGCTTGATATGAAAGGAAACCTTATTTGTTGGTGTATTACTTTTCTGAAGACCCCCATATGTGTAGTTAGATTAAAATTTAACTCATTAAAATTATGAATGATGTTTCAGCTCTATATTCATAACATATTCACTTTTCCCATTATATTCCTATGTTTTATAAGGCAGAGTTTGCTAAATCAGCAGATTTGCTCTACAACATTTATTGTAATATTTCACTTTATTATACCTGTATGCATTTTATATACTTCTATAGTTTATTACTTAACTCAGTTCCAATTTCTTTGGTTGTTGATTTTTCCTTGTTTATAATCCAAAGAATATTTTGCTAGATTTGCACATTTCTCCATTATAAATTCAAATGAACATTAAAAAAATGAAACGAGTATCAATTTACAAATTAACAAATGGAAATAAAGCAAAAAAAAAGTAGGACTCCATCCTCATTGATGCTATTTGTTTTTATTTCACTATTGAGCAAGTTTTAGAATTAATAATTGCATTTTCTATATTTTTATGTTTACTTTTTAAGAAGGACATTGTCAGCTACATTTTTTAATAGTTTTAAATGCTTTGAGTTTTAGTCTCTACTGTTTGTAGCCCTCTCGTAGATGCTTGGAAATAAATTTTCTTTCCCTGCTGGTTTTGTCCTTTTTCATTTGATTATTTTCCCCTTACCAGTGACTACACAATTATCGTAGCTCTTTATGAAGTTAGGCTTGCTAAACTCTGCCAACACTACTTCTGAAATGCTGGGAATTGTGTTCATGTCCTCAGCAGCACCCAGACGAACAGCACGCTTTGGCACAGCAGCATCGTTGATGTTAAACTTCACAGCGCTGGGCACCGCAGACTGAGGCTTACAAGCTGAGAGTGTAAAAAATCAGTCCAGGGCAACAGACTTGGGTTCACCCCAACCCGAATTAGTGCAGACATGGGCTGGGGTGGCCACGAGGCTCCTGAGGACGCAGGACCTGCCTGGTGGAGGGGCTCTGGGACGGTCCCAGTCTCCTCGTGGCCAGGCTCGGAGGAGGACTAAGCTGCACGTCCGCGACGCCACAGAGACCAACAGCAGTAACGACCCCATTGCTGCTGCCAAGGGCTACGGATGGATCATGGACGGTGCAGAAGCAGGTAAGCACAGGGACAGGATAGCCGGCACAGGTGATATCCAGGCTTCTTCTTCACCTCCTGCAAGTCTTGATTGGGCCGTCACTTACAGCAGGGAGATAAAGAAGAAAAAAAAAAGTGGAAAAAAAAAAAGCTTAAAAATTGACCTTTAACAGATTTTAAAATTAGAAAAACAAAGCTCACTCCACCATAGCTTTAAAAGCCATCTTTTGAATTTTAAGCCATGCCTAACATTTAGATCATTGGTGAAAGGAACTTAGATATTCTGATTGCTTTTTTTTTTTTTTTTTTTGTAAAATATGTGGAAAAATACGTTTATTTCAGTCGACCAACTCCATATGCTGTTGCCCAGACCTTTCTGCAAATGAAGGGGGATTTTTGTTGTTCTTGTCCTTTTTCCAAACTAAATTACTCTATGGCTCTATGATTCACTACTTTGGCTGCCAAGGCAGACTTCCTCCGGTCAGCTCTGTCACCTTGCAGCCATATTCCTGCTTTATAAATAGGAATCACCTCTACATTGCTTTTGAGATGTATGGGTTTTTTGAAGGGTTTTGCCTTCATTTTTGGGGGGAGGTATGATGCTTCCACTTCTCCAGCTTCAAAAGCAGTTCCCATGCTGTGCACATTAACCTACCACCACATGGTGAGGAACACTATTTTGGAGGGTAATGAACTCCTTTGTCCTTGGCAGGGTGGCCCTAGAAAGCCCCATTGTCCCTACACTGCCAAAGGCAGCCCTCCTTCCTGGAGCTTTTCTCCCTGCTGCAGCCTCAGTTAATACTTCCCTCCTCTCAGCGTACTGAAGTCATCATTAATCAAACACAATCACATTTAGCAAAGTTCAACGTGTATTAAAAATTTATGTCAACCTTTAGGCTCTATGACAGCCCCAAGGCTTCACTTAATAAGTTCTATAATGACTTACTGTTAATGGCCAATTCCCATTATCTCTTGCAGTTCTACTGGGCTTTTCACTAAAATTTTTTATTACCGATTGTGCAGCTGTTGTATGTTTCCCATTCATATAAGCAAAACTGTTGTTTTCCAGCATGGAATGGTGGACACATTAAATGATAAAACCTCCCAGAGCATACTTTTTCCTTTGTCTTTTGCATCAGTTTATATGGGCCTATCATAGCTCACTCACTAGCAAATGAAAAATGTACCTGGCAAGGGTGGGCTGGCAGAAGCTCTTGAAAACGCCTAGGAATCTGACACAACTTACCCGTTGATTTAGCAGAAACCTACACATCCAAAACCCATCATGATCCAGCTATCCATCACCCTGGCTAAAGCCTCAGCAGAGGTCACAGAATGGCTGGCGGGCCAGGGCTCTGCTACTTTGGTCAATGATGCCTCATATTTAATCTCAGACATTTAATTCCTTTCATCTTTTTATTTTAAAAAAAAGTCAAAGTGAAATGTTTCTGACAACTGAGCACGATCTGTTTCTGTGGCTTTACACAAAGATCTGGCGAGTACTTTTCACTAAACACAATCTCTTAAGATTGTTCAGTACTCATAATTGCAGCATTATTTTCTAAATCTATGATCCTACATGCATTAGCTGTTTAGCACAGTGTTTACTACTGCAATAAATGGTAGCACTCATAACAGTAAGTATAATGAGGTAACGCTACTGTAATCGTAGGGCTCCCACACTACTGGAGGCCGATATCTCGCCCTGTGCCGGAGCATCGTTAAATACAGGACTCCGGACATGCTGCTGCTGCACTACGGTGGCTACTCTGAAGTGCCCAGTTCTGTTAAATTCCTTTCATGGAGAAAAATTCCTCCAATAACAGGTAAAACTCTCACTAAGAACTGCTCAAATTGCTGGTTTTATTTATTTATTTATTTTTATTTAAGGCCACCCAGAGAGAACAGATTGTATACTTCATTTGTATAATGGTAATATGCAAAGTATTACAAAGAAAAAAAAAACCCAACACAGAATGGAAAATAAAAAAGCCATAGGATTGTCTTTAAAACATTTCGAAAAAGTAAGAAACAAGTAGAAGAAATCCACAGCGCTGAGACACTGTATGTCACCAGCCTCGCCAGCACCTACTAGGGAGCTGTGACCACATGCAGTACCACACTGGTGGTTCCCACCACCTCTTCCCTCATATTTTCAAAAAACTCGCTTCAAGGGCAGAGCTGGTTGACCAGAAGCCATCGTCTCACTGAAACGCACCTAGAACTCGCACGCCAGACATTTGTTGATGTCCCCAGTGGGACATGGTAAAACAAATAAACCCTAACTAGCTCCATCTATAAATATAGAGCATGGCTTTTCATCAGCTGCTGCATCACCCTAAGGCTCTCAAGGATGCTGTCTCTTGTAAACTGCTCTCAGCCATGGCAAACAATGAGAAACTTTGTTTTAAACAATATAATCTGTTAACATGGTTTCAAAATACAGAGAAGGTGTGTACTTGATTAAAACTTGACTTCTGAAAAATGTCTTAATGTGAAAATTTCTGGAAAGTGTCTGAATATAAAAAGAGGCTGCTGTTTTGAGGAGAACAGAGAAAAAAGAAAACATGGAATTCTGAATGTTTATTTGCCGTTGGTGGTTTATGAGGTAAAGGCCTTGCTTTTCTAAATCATGGAGGTCAGTTTTGAGGTTGAGGTAATAAGAACTAGCCTCACAGCACACCTGTAAGGTGCAGAGCTCAGTCCTGGGCATGAGGCGCTGTGGCAGCCGCCTGCAGCCGAGGCCCCGGGGGCACACGGGGGAGAGGGGCTTTCCCTGACAGGGAGCACACGGGGAAGAGGGTCTTTCCCTGAAGCCACGAATTTCCTTGGAGCCAGCCTCACTGTCTGGCCGGGAAGCTCTCTCCATGAGGACTGGGAGGATACAAGTGTCGAGGCGGGGGTCT